GTGGTACAGAGAAGTCTGGACTCATACTTGTCTGAGCAAGGAATATTCAAGTGGGCCTCCTGTAGAGAACAGATACATTAATAGGAGAGCTCTACCAGTGAGCTTTTGACCCCTGTAAAACAAGGAAGACAATGTACCGCCACATCAAAAAAAGCCTAGCCATGAAACTTGAATGGCAAAGTGCATCTTTCTCAAAACAGAGGAGAGGAAAACAGCACCAGGAAGGAGTACACGTGCTTTATACATCAGATGATGATGAGATATAAGGTGTTGAATAACTTGCAGTATTTAAATTGATTTCTTAAAAATGTGCTAGAAATGTAACTGTTTCAGACAGCTGCTTCATGAATATGGTCTTAAGGTAACTGTGAAGCCACACCAAGCACAATACAGACCACGCACAAACTTGACAGTATGTGGTACTTTTGTCCACTACATCTTGCAAAGCCTAGTGCAAACATTTGTGCAGAAGGCAGGTATTTCTCTGACAGGTGTACGAGTAAGAGAAAGAGTTAAGAGATTATAGAATGTCATGAAAATGGAACCCAAATGCTTCTCTGGGCTTCCTTTAAAGCCTGTGGATTGCTGTCTTGTGCTGGAGTTCTGCCTGCAAACAGACGATAAGCACAGCTTGCAGGGAAATGACACCTACTGTAATACAGTATGAGTTATGAGGTAGAAAGTTAAAAGTGGCTGTTTTCCAGAAAATCTGTACACATATTTCTACCTGGACTGACCACATTCTGCTTCCCTCAGCATGACTAAAACAAACAACTCCTTGATTGCTGTTAGCTTGACTTAGTTTTAGAGAGAGAGACCAAGAGGGGGGAGGTGGCCAGGAGAGGGGTAGAGATCAAGGAAGGGGGGAGCAGAAGAAAAGGGAGAGAGAGGGAAAAGGAGGTGGGGGGAGAGACAGAGAGGAGAGGGGGGGGGGAGGGAGGGAGCGTTTACATTCTCAGATTTTCTGGAATGAATGTTTTTCATGTATTTTCCTTCGGCTGTAAAGAGCTGCAACAATACCTGCAAACATGGCACAGCAATAAAGAGTATCTCGATAAAAAAAATAAAATAAAGAGTATAAAAAAACAGGGGGGAGTGTGGAGGCAGTGTCTGCTCTGTCTGTAAACAGAGCAGACTCAGAGAAAGACAATGTTTGTAAACCTTCATGGGACAGTTCAGTTGGCAATCTCCTACATTATAGCCGTTTGCTTAAACATCCAATTGGTTTTGTTTGGACTTGATAACATTAAGACTCAGATTTCTAACACAGCAGGAGGAATTCAGAGCAGAGTTTCATTGTGTGAGCCAGCCTGGCCCTGCTGAGAAACAATAAAAGATTTTTTAACTCCTTACTTCCTTCTGCCCAGATTGTTTGGAACTTCAAAGAAACTGAAACCTTCCATTCTTTAAATCATTTCTTGTAATACATTCTTACAGGCAGAAAACAGATAAGTTGACTAATTTGGTGATTGTTTAGCTTCATTAAATTGAATTTATTGACAGTTGAGAATACAGTTGCACTTTGGCAGAGTCAGGTAAATGTAAAGGACTTTTTTAAAACAATACCTGTCTGTAAAAAAGTGATTTAAAAATGATCGTGGATAATTAAAGTGAAACACTGTTTTATACTTGGACCAAATCTCCTCTTAATCTCCTTACTCACTTCCTTTCTTGTCCCTGATGATAAATTTACTTCTGTGGGCAGGTAAAAGATATAACACAGTATGAACTCATTATCAAATAAGAAACATACATGCATAAGATGAGAAAAAAAATTAGCAGCTTTTGTGATCTTAAAAAAATATTTTAAAAAAGAACTTGGGTCATCAGTGTGTGAGATACTGAGGATACATGAATGGTGAAATAATATTAAGTTAAATATACACTCAATAGTCCAAATTAGGTAGGTTAATAGCTGTGGGAATCTAAATCATTTGATCTAGAATGAAAATATTTAGTTCCTTTAACATGACACTCCCCTGTGACCATAAATCATTTAAGAATCATTAAAGAAATGTTTTATCACTCGCCATGACAAAATCAAAATTGTTTTACTTTGAACTCCATTTTTGTAGTATGGTGACCACAAATGACCACGATATTCTCAATGAGGTCTTACTAAAAAAGCTTGAATAAATCTTTCCTGGATTTAAATTCCACACTTTGTGCTATACAGTATACTAAAGCATTCTGATTGTTTTTCTTTGCTTCCCTACATTGTCTTGAAGAGAACATTGAGAATCTACATTAACACTCAGATCCCTATCGGGTATAGTAGAATCTTGCAGCTTTGATTTGCCCGTGTGATGTGATGTGTATTATGGACATTCCTGTTTCCTGCATAGTTCACTTTGCACACAATGTTACAATTAATTTGCCAGTCCTTGATTTTGTCCTTCTGTAAATCCCTTACTGCTGTTTCTTTGTTTGCTTCATCTCCCTGTTTTTATATCACCTGAAAATTTAGCTAGTTTGTTAACTACAGTATACCAGAATCTAAATCATTGACACAGATCAGAGCAGTAGGCCTTAGATGGAACCCTGAGGTACACCACATCTTATAGTTGCCTAATTCAAGATTATGCCCCTTAAGATGACTTATGGTTTCCGGTCTATTACCAGTTTTTAGGCCATGTTCATACATTACCTTGCATTCCTATATTTTTTAATTTGATAATTAGTTTTTAATGAAAAACCTTATCAAATGCTTTCTGGAAATCTGTATCATGCAAAGTGCTTTAAAGATTCAAGCAACATTCTTGTTGCTTGTTAAAATAATTCAAGGATGTTATTTAATTGAGATTCTTCTAAATCAATGTTGCCTGTCTCTCAAAATATTATTATAACCATGCTACAAGTCAGATGTGTCTTTTTCTCATGACCTGCCTATACACCCATGGGCCAATCAGAAAATCCTTTAATATTGGTCCACTTTTAAAACAACAAAGCGAAATGTAATTTATTTTAAGGCTACTCTTTATGACAAACTCATCCTTCTGAAAAAACAGCCAAATGTTTCCAGGCATTTCCTTTCCTTCTTTCTGTAAACCAGAGCTGCTTGTCTGGTTATTCCACTGAAGTCTGATATGGGTTCTACGTTCATATGAACAATACAAAAGCTTTAAAAAACTCCTGTACTCTTTGGAATTTCTTGTAATGAAACAAGGACCACAGCAGAGTGCTATAATAGTGTGCATTGTAGGGTTTGTTTTGACTTGGACCTTAAACTTTGATCACTCATTACTGTGGTAAATCTGTTCTAATTGCGTCTGATGTGATGAATGCTCTCGCCCTGTAACCTGCTGTTAGGTGATAAACACAGCATGGCATGGATATTGGGAGAATCAGACAGCTAGGAGCAGCCTGACTATGATGTTGCCTGCTGACCAATCCTTCAGCCATTCTTTTTATCATTCTTATAATCATGCTGGGCAGACACACGTCAAATAACTGCAGGTATCGTGATATCGGCAAACATTTTGCAATGGATTGTAAAGCCTTTTGCTGCCTTGCAAAAATTCACTGTGCATTTACTACATTATATTTGGGAATCTGGGAAATTTGGGAATTTAAATCTGGAGTTTAAAGATAATAATTATCGCAAAACTACAGCTAAGTTTTTTTTTTTAAAACATATGGCTTGGCTTGAATAAAATCATCATTTGCGATTTCCAAACCCAGTGCTGTGTGTGACATCAGCTTCCCCTTGGACAAACACAAGATGCCTCTGGCAAACAAGGTGACACATTCTTGAGTGGTGCCTGCAGTGTGGTTTTGATAAAACCATGGCCTGTTTATGTTGCAGTTTTGCTAGACGTGTGCCTTTAAAAATCTGCAAGTCCCTGAGCTCTCATATCAAGATGACGTTGGCCAAGCTTTTATTGACTTATAACACAGCTCACTACTCATTGCATTCTGTGGAACTGAGCTACAGAACTTGACCCCCATCTTGATCAGCACAGTGAATTCCACTTTTCTTATTCCAGGAACTCCCTGTGTCCTGATGTCCAATATGATAGGAGGGGTTTTGCACCAGCAGGAATGACCATAATAATTCCCACTGACAACTGCACCCTGCCAAGATCTTCAGCCCAGAAAAACAAATATTTTTCCTCATATTGTCCCCCATAGGCATAAGCTCCTAGTGCACATATATTGTTTCACCACTGGGGGGCAGTGCTGAGAACAGTCAGGCCTGGGACTTGAAGCCCTTCAACAGCAGTGCCAGTTGACCTGATTAAGCATGGAAGTGGATTTAAAACCAAAAATAGGATTCACTACTTTACTCAAAGGGTTGTGGAAGAATGGAACAGCTACCCAGCTACATTGTTGAAACCAAAACCCTGGTTTCTTTCAAGAAATGTCTGGATCTTTGAATCAATTAAACACCAACTTCCAAGCTGGTTAAATGGCCCGAAATGTGCCCTTGTGGGAAGAAAATAAATGTAAAAGTTTAATAAATAAACTGGATCTACTGTCTTTCAGGTGACTGAAAATGCCATAAGGAAGCTTGCACTCCAGGGTGAGTCTCAGTGTTAATTTTTCTTGTGGGAAAGCTAGTCTGAAAAACTATGGTTGTCGATTCCAATTGCATCTGGTATTTATCCAGTTTACAGACCTACATTCTAAAACAAAAGCTGAGCATTTAAAAGAATCCTACATTTCAAAGAACCAAACTTGCTTGAGCTTTTTCATTATCATGAACAGCTTGAACCTACACTACCGGACACCGAAAGTGAGAACAGTCACTCTGGTGTCTGACTTTTCAGGAGAAAGAAATATTAATTCAGCCTCATCAAATATTTCCAAGCAACACATTTAAAAAATAAATGTTAATTGTGAGTGATTCATTTTAATCATGAAATAAATCATTTTTAAAGCCATTATCTGTAGGAAGGGGCTGTACCCCTTCCTCACTGACTGGTCATACTCTGGTCACCTGGGTGTAATTATTTTCAACTGTGGAATCACCTCCCACAAGGAAATTCCTTTGCTCCAAACATTTAAGGACATTATAACATTTTTATTCTAATAAACTAGAGGATATTAGACTGTAATAACTTGAGAACCCTGGAGCCGTTATCTTTGCCCCACAAAACACTTCAGAGCAGCGCTGTCATCGGAAATAAAGCAGTCTGTGGGTTAAAGGCTAATCTTTTCATTTTGAAAAATAAGATTTAATATGTCCTCAGACGACAGGAGTTCAGTTTCCACTGTCTGCAAGTGAAGGAAGTGTCAGATGTCAGAGGCCAGCTTGAGTCACCCGTCGGTGTGCTGACTTTAGATAGAGCTGGTCACAGAAAGGACAAATCAGGCATTGTAATCCCTCAACATGAAGCAGATTCAAAGACCCAGCAAGTGATTTAGCAATCCAGCAGAACAAGTGTAGAGAAAAGGATAAGAAAGACTTTTGCTTGGTTTGGGGTAAAGCTCTCTGTTTTTTCAAATAACCATGTTCCTTCTTCCTGGTTTTTTGATCCACATTCAATCAAATAACATGAAGGATTTTTCTCCGAGGTTAGCTTTAACGTTATTATAGGCATGGCTGAAATGTGCAAGTTGGCCTAGATTAATGAATAACAGTACTGTGCTTTAGCTGCACACCCTTTTCTAATGTTCTGATTGGACACTTTCTCTCGTTTTGACTAAACCATTAGGTCAATGGTGTCACTGTTTCTTTGCTGTTGCTTTATGCACCTATTTTTCTCTTTCGGCCTTTCAGAAGCAAGAAATCTACCTCGAAGTTTCAACACATCGGGGTCAAAGGTTATTACCACGGCAACCCAGCGGCCTTCAGCGCACCTCACTCTGAGAGACAATGGGCCCCAGACCTCAGGTTAGAGTGTCACCTCACTCTGTGAGACAGGGATTCATTGTGACCCGTCTCCAGTGGTATTTGACTGTATATTTCAGTGAAAACCCATGAAACAGTCTTTTTGTAGGACTAATTTAGCCTGTACACAATTCTATAAAGGCAATAGAAGAGTATATATGTTTGGTTTAGATATACATTTGGTTGATTCTGACCTAATGCTGAAATTTTGCTACACTGTACAGTGGGGCTAAAAATTCTGCCTTTTCCTTAAAGGCCTTATATAAAGGAATACCACAAAGATATACGCTTACATTCTGTGTTTTAATTGATGCAACACTAACAAAATTAAGTTCAGGGCACACAGCTGGTGAGTAAAATGAATGTCCTGTTTTTAGGAAAAAATTCCCTGACAATAAAAACTTTACCTTCAGCTTCAGACTCTTAGCATATTACACAAACTCGGCAAACTCCAGCAACTTCTGCTTCATTAATAGTGTGGGTCCAGGTGGAATGGTTTGTTTTCTAATTTGTTTTTTGCTAATGTATTTTTGATCTCCGAATCACCAGTTTTTTCTCCTTGGCTTTCTCTTCATCTAGGATTCACTTTCAAACCGGCTGAATGATCAAATGTTGAAAAACAGTAACGTGTCGGTCTCTCTGACAAGGCCCTTCCTCTCTCCCCTCAGGACCCTCTGCCTTCCCCCAGCCTGACCTGCACCAGTCCTGCCGTCACCCAGTCCTGTCCTGGGACGCCCAGTCCTTTGGCTCACATGTCCACAACATGAGCCTGAGCAACGGGCGGCTCCGGGTGCCCCAAGATGGCCGCTACTACCTCTACTCCCAGGTGTATTTCCGCTATCCCTCCCCGACGGACCCCGACTTGCAGGGCAGCAGCCACCAGCTGGTTCAGTGCCTCTACAAGAAGACGTCCTACCTGAGGCCCATCCAGTTGCTCAAGGGCGTGGGCACCAAGTGTTGGGCAGCAGACGCAGAGTACGCCCTCCACTCGGTCTACCAGGGAGGGCTGTTTGAGCTGACGGCTGGGGACGAGGTCTTCATCTCGGTATCCTCCCCTTCCATGGTGTACGCTGACGAAACGTCCAGCTACTTTGGCGCATTTCGCCTTGACCTCTGAACTCCTGAGCTGCTTTGGATTCTATTAACCACTCTTTTCCAAGGGGGAGAACAAACAAAACTCTTTGGGTCATATGAAGGAAGCAGACTCTGAAGCAACACAAAAGGGGAGAGGAGTCAATGCATCTGGCTCTTAACTGTCAGGAGCCCACCTGATTTAACCTGTGTGACATTCTGGGATAACCGTGCTGAAGGGTTTCTGAACTGCAGCTCTGAAAGATAATCCCAGTCAGTCCAGCAAGGTCTACTGAAGTCATTCCTTAGGCCAGCTCTGTTAATACCACTTACTGCTTGACCAGAGGTTCCAGCAGGTAGTAAGACGAGATGAAAACTCGGCCAGGGTTCTCCGGTGATACCTAAAATAATATTTCCAAACAGAAAATAACTTAAAACCTGGTTCTCGCTATTAGTGCAACTATGGGCATCCCAGTTGATGATATTGACTTCACTTTGAAGAAGAAGAGGTACTTTGTCTGAGGTAATTTGACTGGAGAGGTCAGGATGCATGGTGTGTAATACGTGAAGTGGTTTATGGTTTGAACTTTAATTATCTGAGGATTTCTGCTTTGTCCTCTGTAAGTGATAGGAAATTCAGCCAACTTCTAAGAACTCTTGCTTTGATAGATTTGATTTAATATAGGTAGGCCCCAGGAAATATTATTTTTTAGGCCTAACCCTGTAGTATGGTTTTGTGCACAGATAAAATCCCAGTATTGCAAATTAATGTAGCACATCTTTTGCTGCTTAAGAAAAGAGATTTATTAAAGCTTAATTTGAGTCTGGAACACATTTTGCATTTGAACAAAGGCTTTGTATGAGTATGAAAGTGAAGCTGCTTATTGTATTCAGAAAGACTATCTCCCTGCTGCATGAAAAGCTGTTAACTATTAATATTGTAATGTATGTAGCCTGATTCAGATGCATTGAGTAAAAGAGTAACCATGTCTCTTTCATGCATGAAGGCAGCATGGTTACCTCTCCTGAGTTAGTCTGTTGGTGATCCATGAAATCTGTCCATATGAAATGATATTTCTGTCATACTATGGTGAAATGGAAAAAGATATGCTTTGTTTCTGCACGTGCTATTTAAGTGCTTTTTATACTTTAAATGTTGTATTGTGTTTGTGCAAAACACGTTTCTCATCTGGGAGATTCCTAAAGATGGAATACTTTGACGATGACCTCATCTATGTTTACTTCCCTTAGGAGGAAATCAGACAGGAAAATCCTGAGGTTTTGAGCTCAGAATGAAATGCTGGTATTTTTATTTGTCAGTTACAGCAAACGGGTCACCGTTTCAAAAATATTTTTGCAGATCTCTTGCATTTACGAAAAGAGGCAGCCTTGACATAGAGATAAAAAAACCAAGCACAAAAAAGAGCAGGCACAAACACATTCATATCTGCCTGCCTGGCCTTGCGTGCCTCATTTCATGTGTGTGTCATTTTAATATGGCCAGGCTCTATCCATCATTGACATGATTCACGAAAGAGAGCTCTAGCTCAAAAATAAAAAACAAAAATGAAAATAATCCAGGACTGATCAGTTTTTGTTTTTACCAGCCACAACGAGTAAACATTCCTGAGAAATTCTTTAGATCTGGTTAGTCAAGTTGGGGTAGGGTGCTAATTTAGGCCTTCTGTACTGTATGTCCTCTATTAGGCTCACATTAGAACTGGGCATTGCCTGAGGGAGGTTCTGTTAAGAATAGTAACAAAGGTCAAGCTCAGCTTAGTCTAATTGCTGTTAACTCAACATCACACAGCAACATGATTGGTTCATGTGTCCACATGTTAGCACTGACAGGGGAGCAATTATTAGGTGTCAGTGAAAGGTTTTGATCTTTACAGAATTAGTCTAACTTTTTGGTAACACCATATAGGTTCTTTTGAAAACCTTGAACCTCCCTCAAAGTGAAATGAATTTTTGAAGTACAGTTTGAGCGCCTGTACAGCCTCAGCTTTCGCACGAGAAAGCACAGGAGGGAACCACTGTTTTCAAGTTTCTGCTTTACCGCTCTCGTAGTATTCAGTTCTTAGATTTGCTTTAAAATCTGACCTCCCAAAGGTTTATACTTTTAAAAAAAATGTAAATATTTTTCCTAATAACTGCAACCTGTATTGTAACAGAATATAACTAAAATACAAAGGATAGAGGTGCTCTTATTTGCTTCTGAGGGATTAGACATGAGGATTGATCAAACTTGTTTTTACGTTTTTTGCTCCGATAGTCTCAGTGCAGAACCAGTCTCCCAATGTAAAGCGTGATAACACCTAACTTGTTATTAGCAGCACCGGCACTACTTGTGCTGGGAAATTGTAACTGAGGAAGTGGATTTCTCCTGCACGATCCATATGGGCATGTCATGAGTTTTGACTTCTTGTCTGCCTGGAGACCTGTGACTCATTCACAAAGAAGAGATGAGTTCTGTACAAGTTCGAACACCTGCGTAGGTTTAGCAATGGGTTGGGATTCGCTCCTGGGCATTTGAGCTTTCTTGCTTCTTCACAGGAATTAGAATAGAATAAGCAATTAGTCAGAGATTCTTTAAAGTTGCCAAAGTTTTTCCACTCCAGAGCTGTCCTCTAAGAACCCGCTGTTATGGAAATTTCTCCGTGTTGCTGTATAAATGAGTAGAATCAGCCACATGCAATAAAAGCTTGTGTATCATGCGTCATTAAAGCAGAATATTTTCCCCTGCCACAGGAAAACTGTGGAAGTGAGCTGCTTAAAGTGCTTTTCAAGCGGACTCCTGGGATTCTTTAACACTACTGCCTGTAAGGGATCCATAAGTGCTTAAAATCCACTAGCTCAACAAGTTACCTAATGTGAAAGATGTCTTTAAATTTCTCTTCACTGAATTGTTTCCTTGGTGCTTTGTCCAAGTCACCACAATCCTGCAGTTTTAACACTTGGCTAGATTTGGCAAGCTATTCTTTTTTTTTTGCCTCGGTACTCTGTGATGTACAGTACATAGGGCCCTACTGCGACCTGGTTAAGTTGCCAGACCAGTGTATTCATTAACTACAGTATGGAACAGGTTCTTCTGAAGGCACTGTATCGACTACGCTCCCGAGTAGCTTCAGAACTGCTTTTGGCAAAGCCTCAATGCATCAAGAGAATGCAGCATGCAGATCAAGTCGGAACAGCACCCTCAGTGATTAATTTTTCATAGTTTGCAGTATGTACTTAGAGACCACACAATCAGAAATGGATTCTGATTACACTGGGTACTGAATGGAAAATTACTTACAACCTATTCTGCATTTAGGATAAGACCCCTAAATAAATAAGCTTCTCAAAGTTAAAGGAAGCTTGATAGATTTAATGTGAGTTACATTTGTTTGTAATAATGTATAAACAACTCAGTGTTTTTTTGTCTGCTTTGGAATGCAGTAAACTCTGTCCTGTATTTCCTGCACAACAGGAGTGCAGTGCAGTGCAATGAAGAACTTCCCCCTACAGAGCCTAACATGCTTAAGTCTGAGCTGCTTAAGAACATCTCTCAACCCCTGAAGCAGCCTTTTACTGCCACCTGTACCACTAAATGCACAAACTTTAACACTGGGTGGCTGGAAGTTTTCAAAGAGTATGGGTTCCAGCTTTTTTAATTCCAGAGTGTAGACTGAATGTGTATTGTGTATTTTTCTGCCTTGTGTATTTTTTTTATCTGTAAAAATAAAAGTTTGTCAGAGGATGTCTCAATGAACACTTGTTTTCCTTGGTCTGGACAACATTCATTTGTTGCCCTGCTTGCCTAACATATGGAGTCTGTTTGCTTCAGTGTAACTGTCCTTAGGATCACAAAACCACAATGCTGTTTCCCAAGCTTGTTGGTCGTTCATTAGATTGTTTCTCATCTCTCTTATCATACTGTGTGCTGACTAATGAATCATTTCTTGTTATTTTTGTTGAAAATCAGGAATTATTTTTAGAATTGTTTTTTCTCTATTCCCATATTTCCTTTTATTGCTACTGCTGTAGTACAGGCAACTGATTCTCTAATTGATGCAATAAGGACAGATACCTGGGGTTTTACAGTTACAAAGAGACACTTCGGTAAAGCCTAATACACATATAATCATTCTTGCCTGATTTATAATGTAATAATATAATGTTTCTTTATTAGCCCTATACAATTTCTTGCATTAGGAATTCGTCTTTTCGCATACCCCAGCTTTTCTCCATGGAGAGGCAGACACACAGACAGGGAGAAGCTTGGGGTCAGAGCACAGGGTCTGCCATTGTACGGCGCCCCTGGAGCAGTTAGGGTTAAAGGCCTTGCTCAGGTGTCCAACGGAGTAGGATTCCTCTGCCAGCCGCGGGATTTGAACCAGCAACCTTCCAGTCACAGGCGCATATCCTTAGCCACAGAGCCACCACTCCACTCATTTATGCCATTTATGGAAATGGCTTAATCAATTTCTTGTAAATGTCCTAAAAAGATTTGAGGAGACTCTTTATAATTCTACTTTGTTTTTAATTGTTAGTCCCTACTGAAAAAAACAATATTTAGATGAACGATCTCAGACTCAATTCTTGAAGGGCCTAGTGTTTTCTAGTTTTGTTCCAAACACCTTCTCTGTTACATTATACATCTTATTATTTAATTGACCATCCGAAGAAGGCTCCACAGCCAAAACGTTGTTTCTTTTCCTCTCTTTTCAGCATGGCATAAACCTTTACATGTTCCTTTGCAGCCTACGCATGCTGACGCAGCTACCCACCTGAACTAATTATTTAATTAGCTGCACAACTGTAATACTTCTAACCAGACTCCGAAGTGATGTCTTGTGTAATCAACTGTAAATGTGTAATTTAGAAAATAATTAAGGTAATAAGTTTAACTGCTCAGGTTAAAAAAAAAAACAGGCATCCAGGCATTTGACACCCCCTGTTTTAGAGAATCCCCTCACCAGACGTGATACAGACTGGCTGCCAGCTACTGACAGCTAGCTCAGATGTGAATACACAACCGTTCATGGCTGGAAAGCTCAGTCAGGTTGATGTGGGGGCGAAGGTCTTGGTATTGCATGCCGATTAAATAGAAGTGCACATGGGTAGAGCAGAGATGTGCTGTTCTTCAACCTGTAAGAGCTGACAGATGGCTCTCAGCCCAACTCTCAACAGCAGTATTGTCTTTGAGCTTCTGAGGGCAGTTGAAAAAGTTAAAAGAAAAGGCCAAACAAATGCGCTAGTGGCCTGAATTCCTCTGGAAGCCTGCGCTGATGGCCAGGCTGGTTATTTCCTGGATGGCGCGGCAGCTCCCAGTCCCACAGGAAACGCATGTTGATGGGAGTTCCCTGAGACTTCACTGTTGTTAAACAGCAGCCCTTCCTGGACGAACCCCCCCCGCCCCATCTTCATTTTCTCACCAAATGTCACTTGCCGTGAGGCATCACAGCAAAAAAGCATGTACTATATATCGGGTCTATTTGGTCACCGTTATAGAAAAGAAAGTGCTGCTCTGGAATCAGTCCAGAGAAGAGCAACCAGTTAGGTTCTGGATCTTAAGGCAATGTGTTATATGGACAAACTGAAGGAACAGAATCTGTTTTCTTTAGTAAAAAAGGGAAGTCCGGCAGACCATTTCAGGGAACATGAGGATCAAAGATCTCGCCAAACCTGTAGTTCTCCATTTCACCTCTAACAGTCATGATCTTTCTGATCTCTGATCTCACAGATTTCAGAACTGCTTTTGCAGAAAGACACCCAAAACCAAAATGATCCTTAAACTTGGGTCACACCTTCCCCTTTCTCTCCACGACACTCATCTCCTAAATCCACTCTGTTCGTTTGCAGATTTTGGCGTACCACACCTCTCTTCCTGTTCTCCCTGAGTTTTGTGCCTCTGTTACGCCGGGACAGTAGGTGGAAAGAAAAAGGGCACAGCGAAGTTATTGTCCTCAATCACCCGGTCCAATTAGCGGTGAAGATTACAGAGTCTATGATGCGACTGGGTGATAAGAGTGCAGCAATGGGAAGCAGAAAGGAAAACGGCAGGCACCTGAGATGCGCAGGGGAAGCAGTCGGATCTGGGCTGGAGACAGGTGGGGATGACAGGTAGTTAGCGAGTGGTAGTGTTGCAAACTAGTTAGCGAGTGGTAGTGTTGCAAACAGGAACCGGAAGACTGTGAACGCAGGGGGGAAAAACTGAAAAGTAACTCCTGGAAAACCTGAAACAAAGAATGAACAAACACACTCTTGTTAGTCGACTGGTTCCTCAGGGTTTAAATAGAGTGCGAGGTTCATAAGCCCGGCCTGATCTCGTTAGAGATGGCCCTGATGAGCTTCTTGCATGTGTGGAATGCGCCGTGGCGATTGAGGGTGCTGATGCAGGAGCATTGGAGCTCGTCGAGGCACCACACCCTCATTCTCATCTATGCTTTATGCTCCCTGGTCCCCGCCCTTTCTCCCCTCCGTTTTTTTGTTCTCCTGTGCCTTATTTATCTGCTATTTTCCTTCCCTCCCTCACACGTGAAGAAGGCTCCGTCGTCTTTACCTTTTAGCTTGGAATGAACCTTTGCCTGTTCCTCTGGATCTTTTCAGTCTTGAAGAGAGAAGAGTACGAGCAGACGGGACAGAAGTACAGTATTCCAAATCCTCACGGGCATCGACAAAGTCAACCTAGTGGAGTTCTTCAACACAATCCACACAACTGGAAATTAGTGGAAAAGTGTTTTGAAACTGAGAAAAGGCGGCACTTCTTCACCCAAAGGGTAAAGGACGAGCTGCGTAGCCATGTTGTTGAGGCTGATATCCCGGCTTCCTTAAATTATGAACTGGATGAGGTCCTCGGTTCAATTAGATACTAACCACCCAACGGGCTAGATGAGACAAATCGGCATCTCTTGTTGGCAACACCACTCATGCTCTTCGGCGTAAACATCGACACTTCCCCAAGACCTCATGAGCCAAGTCAATGAATCCAAGAGCTAAGCCACCTTCACCTGAAATTTCCTGTTATGAAAAATGTAGGGAAGGAGAACAAAAGAGACAGAAATGCTTAGTAGTTGGAAAATTCTTTGGGTATAAGGAGATTCATAATTCGCCGGAAAAGAGAATCCGTGCAGTCGAGAGAGATTTTTGTCAGGAAAGCAGTGAGAACAAAACATCAGCGATGAGCTATTCCATCAGCACAGCCCTGTAGGAGAAATAATATTTGCAGTTATGTAGTATTGTTCATTCCAAGACATCTGAATGATCTACACAAATAGGAAGGATCCCACACTGAAGTGCAGCCGCACTCTGAGTGATGTGCAGCTGTGTCAGTCTGACCAGCAGCCCCACTACAGAGCACATCAGCTGGAGTAGTGAGAAACGGCTTTCACATGGGAATTAAGGGCCAGACTACATGGAGATCAGACCACAATGGAATTTAGGCAGGACACAGAACCTGATAAGCAGTCAGGTAAATAATAATATTTATACATAATTTTATAATATATCATTTATATATACAGAGAAATAATAATAATTACACTTATACAATGCTTTTCTAGACGCTCCACTCAAAGTGCTTTACAGGTAATGGGAACTCCCCTCCGCCAATGTGCAACACCCACCTGGATGATGCCATGGCAGCCATATTGCGCCAGTACGCTCACCACACACCAGCTATCAGCGGGGTGGAGAACAGAGTGATAAAGCCAATTCATAGATGGGGATTATTAGGAGGGGATTATAAGGATCCCTTATAATAAAAGCCCAGGAGAAATTTGACTAGGACAATGGGGGTAACACCTCCTACTCTTTTCAGGAAACGCCCCGGGATTTTTTAATGACCATGGAGAGTCAGGACCTCGTTTTTACGTCTCATTTAAAGGAAGGCTCCCTTTTTACAGTATGGTGTTCCCATCACTATTCTCAGGCATGAGGACTCACACAGACTGCAGGATGAGCACCCCCTACTGGCCCCACTAACACCACTTCCAGCAGCAGCCTTAGCTTTCCCAGGAGGTCACCCATCCAGGAACTGACCAGGCTCACACCTGCTGGGCTTCAGTGGGTTGCCAGCTGTGAGATGTAGGGTGATACTGTAGCTACCGAGTTTAATATCATCTGAGTGATAGGCCACTCCTATAGGACACATTCACCTCAGTTCACTATACTTCGTCATTGATGTTTGCCTCCTATATGTCCACCAACACCGCAGCTTAGTTTTTCCTTAGTGGTTTTCCATCCCAGTACTGACCAGACCCAGACTTACTCAGCTTCAAAGATCTGGCACGATCAGGCTACGTGAAATCACTATTGGCAAAGCATGGTGATTGTTGTGATGTGGCAGAATTCAAGCGGGCAGCTTTTTTTATACATACTCACAAGGCATGATCGTGACTTTCCCAAAAGGTAATTACAGCATTTAGCCTGAAAGCTCCTATGTAACATTTATACTTTATTTGCACTCTCCACAGCAATCACGTCAAGTTCAGACTTCTTTGTCTCCCCTTGTCCTCGGGCTCTCCAGCCTACATTACACAAGTAAACATTTATATATTTTTTTCTTTGAACGCACTGGGTGTTGGCTCAAACAAGGAACTATTCAGTTGAAAACAATCTGATTCTATAGTTCAGAACATTTTCAAGTAACCTTCAGCTCTGGCTAACCAGGTGAAATTGATCATGTCAGTCTGGCAGATAGGCTCATCAGATGTACAGATATTTTTGAGTGCTGCTACAATTACTCATTTTCCATTGCATAATGATATTGGCCATTTCAATTTAACATATAATGCAAAAAAGGGCACAGTTAAAACCTTTTATCATCATCTAAAAACACTTTGCATTACGTATCGTTCAAACAGTTTTGAGCAGGTCTCTGCTTCCCTTATTCTCCTTCTTCCACAAATTTATAGTCTCGTTATTAGTGTTACACCCTGCAGAGTGATTTCCTATGTTTAATGCCAACGTTACTTGACATTTCCTGAAAATATGCTGACGAAATATTACCTGGAAACTCTAAAAGATGCATTTAAATAGATGCATTTCCCTGTATGAGGCAGGCTTCAAAGAAATCAGCTCTATTAAGACATTCTGGGCCCCACCTGATCGTTTGAGCCATTTCCATCATTCTGACATTTGTTATCATCCGCTGAACCAAGATCACAAAAAATAGACCAATCGTTTGGTAAATTTCAGTATTTAATTCATTATAAAGGCAAATTCAGTTACGTGAATAAATGATTCATTTTATTCACATTCATGTGCAGTGGGTACACCATTATAATGGAATGTTACAACAATCGTGTTTCAATGAACAAAATCACATGGAGAGTAGCTACATGACATTGTAAAATCAAAGAAATCAATGTGTGGAGTGCTTTAGCATGTTCTCTTACTATCCCAAGGATGGAAAAATATTGATATAGATATAGGGAAGTTTCAGACTGGCTTTTTAGCTTCTCCTTAAGCAGCCACACACTATTCTTACAGGATAGTACGAGCCAGGTGAGTCATACTGTAAGTGGTTAATTCACAATGGAGAGGTGGGTGTCATAAAGCATAGACTCATTTGACAGGAAATTCAATCTAGCGCTTTTGTCTGGATCACATCCTTTTCGGTCCTCTTGTCTATGCCCTGCCCCTCCCCACCAATGCTGAGCGCTCTGAGCCTTCTGTACATTCACAGAGAACAGAGCAGCTCTGTCTACATCCACCACATATTTGCACTTCGGTCTTCCATCTCTTATAAAAGTGCTGCCCCTTCCCATTGGCGACAAATGATCAACAGGGGAAATCCCTTCATTGAGGGTAGAGCCACTTGGGCTCTTACAAACCCAAACTGCAGCAACATGCCTCCGAAACACTGATTTAGATTAGCATCCGAGTTACAACATAGAGATTGCACAATACAAGACTATAAAGTTACTAGAGAGCTACTGCATCTAGTAATTATTCTGCTAAGGCTGACAAAAACAGTACCTTACATGCCCAGAAAAATGCAATAAAAAAAAATAGATCGAGTGGTTTGGATACCCTTGCTAAATGAAACAAAAACAGTGCAATACGCATTTGCCACCGGCTATTTTGACTCCAAACGTTTGTATTTTGAAGAATCTGCTGAGATTTCAAGAGCTAAAGGCCGCCTCAAAACCTTTTTGTCCCTGGAACAGCGGGAATCGGAGTTCTAAAACTATGCCCCCCTTGTAGTATTGGCAGCCGAAGAAATAGTTCAAAACATCCTGCGCTTTATTCGCCTTGCATAGGAGCCAAAACACAAACACATCCCCCAGTGTGGCTAGGGGAATCAATGGCTCATTCTCCAGCCCAGTTGAAGACGCAGAGGAAATAAACAGAGACACTATGTAAATGAACTGCACACCCAGCCAAGTTTCTTAAACAATGCCCCCTTAATGCTAAATTCTTGGAATACAAAGACCTTTCTACTGCTTTAAGTTGAATTCTCAATCTTGCCATTCATTTTGCCCTCAGAAAGACAGGCCGAACCACACACTAACAAGCAGTCAAAAAGTGATGAAGGGCATTACCCTTTCAATTAAAGGCCTGGCATTCAATGCTTGGATTATACTGATTATATGGCACACTGGGTACATTACAGCCAAGGTCTCTTCTGTCTTACAGAAACCAAGCACACAAAGTACTAACAGTTCCCTGCATCCACTGTCAAGTCAGTGGTGAGAAAACTGGATAAATGCATTTTTAGGCTCATACAGCCAATGGCAAGCATGCGGCAAGCAAAAACTGTCTCTATCTCAAAACAGTGCTGTTAGCTTTTTTATTAAATGTAGTAAATCCTTGATTGTGAAATCACTTTTTATGCTTAACACTTGTTCACCCTAGCAAACTGTGGTTCAGATGGTTTGAGAATTAATTTAAATTTTAAATGCCAGCTGTGAATATGTAAATCTGCACTGTAGTATAAACTCTGTATTACAGTTTTCTTGATATTAGTATCCACAGCTGTGTATTGGTAGAATGAATGTAAATTCAATTAACCTAAAACAGAGAATACAAATACTATTAGATGTAATTAGGAATATGATAAAATATGATTAGATGTGAATAACACTGCTAGAGGAGGAGGATGGCAATACTTATGTCAGGGACTGTATAAACTGTTTTGCTGAGACCACAGTCACTTGGGCACTGACCAAGACTACAGAAAACGACATCGTCATTCTTTTTCCACATTTCTAGGAATCGGAATTGAGATTCCAGCAGAAGTTCCCAGAAGTTCCCAGAGACTTCTGAGGACAAGATCAATGGAAACTAGCGTCAATGAAAAACTGTGACTCTGATTACGGCACAGCAGAGTGACTGTTTTGTCAAAATTAATTAGCAAAAAGCTCAATGAACGTCATTGTTAAAAACTGAGAAAACTCTTTTTAGTCCACACAGAGCAACACAGAGTGACACCCTGTGGACACAAAGAGACTTGCGCCCTGCAGATCAGGCACTGGCTTTAAACACAGTGGTTGGCATTTCCCTCTATCTTGTTTCCTAGCCCTGGACCCAAAAGCATGCATGACAAACTTGTGTGCTAAGGTGAAAGTGACTCTTCAAGTGGCAAGGTCAACTTTCTTTGTTGTTCATTCAAAGAGGGAATACCTATAAGATCTTCTCTGTGCTTCTTCAGTGCTGAAATCTATAAGGGAACTGTATCTCTATTAAGTCAAATCAATGTGTTTACCTGTATAGTTAATAGTATTTATGCTGACATCACTGCAGATAATAGTTTGGACTGAGGAAGTTAAATGTGCAGTGCAACTACCATAATAGTCTGAGAAGAAACAATATGGTCAATTGCTGTATAACACATCAGTCTCTCACTTTATCATGTTTTTTTTCTAGACAGACAAAAATTAAATCACACTAATAACAGAGAAATAAATAAACGAGGACAACAAGCTTCAGTTTTCAATTTTGTGTGGCTTTCCGTCACATTTTTTGGGCAATTGAGTTTTCCACAATTCCAGTACAAGGAAGAGATTAACCAAGCTTGATAACCGTAGCACACCGTGACCATTCAAAAGTATCAAAGACCAAAACCCAGTTTATCAGAAGGATCAGAGAATCTGATACACAAAAACTGAATGAACGATGACAAGAATTACAAAAACGTATTGAGTGCATAACCTGAAGGGTAACATCATGTGAAGTGATTATATTCCATCACCAAGAGAGATCTGAAAAGCAATTCATTAAAAATATACCTACTGTATGTGCAGTGATTGCAGTTAAGCTTAACTTAGGAACTGATCACACATGAATAATTTCTCTCACTTCGATAAACTAAAAGACACAGTTATTCCAAACCTTGATATGGTAGTAATGAAGCAAGCAAATTTAACTCCAGCAACCAATGTCTTTCATGCCAGTTCTCCAAGTAATTGACCCTGACCCAGGTATTTCAGTAACTGGAGTAAAGCTTACTTTTTTTCACAATATTAAGCACCCAACATTCCACCTGTTTTGTCAGACTGGCTCCTGCTTTAAACAATCTGACAAACAGCTAAGAATCTGTTTTTTCTTTTAAAAAAACTAATTACCACCATGCTGAAAAACCAACAGGAGGTTGTGGTTGGAGCTGAATCCAGCTCATGTTCCAGTTACGTAAACCATGTAGTTTTTTTGAATCAACTGATGCAAGCTGAAATGCCATTTGCACTGGGTATCTGTGGATCCAATGTATGATCTGATTATTAATCGGAGCAGTTATATCCAGAACTCAATGGAACTCCCAGTGGAGAGAACACATGCCTCATGTCCATTCGCTTGCATATCGAAATCAGTTCAGTACCTTTGTTTAAAAGGGAAAACCTCCATGCTGTCCCACTCCTCACAACTAGAATTGCAAAACCCAATGCACATTTAAATTCTCATGTCCTAGAAGTTAGAAGTTAGAGAAGTGAAAAGCCAACCCACTGACATTTGTCAGACCCACAGGTCCATAAAGGAAGCAGGAGGAGGCTGTGATCCATTATGGCCCTAAAGCAACTCTGTTTCCTTCTTCCCCAGTGTTTCTGTTCCAGTCAGTCAAGGCTGTTGAAGCCACTGCTCAGCAATAGATCCCTGAAGTGTTTACGGTGACAGACTAGACACAGGAGAGGCAGCCATCCAGTTTGGCTCAGGGTTTCCTGTCAGTCCTGAGGGGTGCAAATATTTTCAGAACATCTAGCCACAGCTCTTTATGGGGTCACTGAGGGTAGTGCAACTTCACTTCCATCCATAGTTCTAGTTAACAGGTCGCACAGAGCATTCTGTCCCTCACACTGTGGGAAAGATTTACCCCAGTGAAAGTAGTGCAAATTAATCTGGCTGGTCTGCAGGTTTCACACAGAAGTAACGGCTCTCAACAGATCAACACGGCGGGTGTCTTCAGTTAAAGAGAATGGAATCGGGATCCCTGTTAGCCATCTGAGCCATGTGTTTCAAAATGTCCTTTTTGGTGATAATTCCTAAAAGACGCCTGAAATGAAGAACAGAACAAGTTAAACAGTGGCTTAGTTGTTTCCATTTCCAACTGGTCAGATGCTGTTTGCAACTATGAGAAAGAGCAGAGAGTAAAGAATGATGTAGATTTCTCTCAGGATTCAAAGTTCTTTCCATACTCCAAGCTCACCCTACTAAAACATGCTTAAAACAACATTACCAAAATGATTGGACATGCATTAGCCTCAAAACCACATTTGTCCTAAGACATCCTCTGAGAACATATTTAATTTATCGAAGGATAATCTCCAAAGACTGCTGGGACCCACTGTATACAGCTGGATGGACAGCAGCCCTTGGGGAAAACAACGGGACTTAATGATAAAGCTGACTTTTCTGCTTGGGGACCTGAATGCCCAGTCCACTGCTAATGCCTACAGAGACCAAAACACGCTTCAAGATGCACCCTAATGCCATCAGACATGAGGTACCTGGATCTGCAGCTAAGCACTGTCACTGTTTATTAAGAGCTCCTGCTCTGTCACCCTTGCTCAGTGTCCTACCCGTTGTGTGTGACGAGGCACTGCCGCAGTCCCAGCTTCCGGAAGATGTCCACCACAATCTCCATGGGCGTGTGGTCAGTGACGGTGAAGGGGCTGAGGTCCATGATGCTGCGCAGTTTGAGCTGTGCCGGGCTGGTGGAGGGCTGGGGAGGCATGTACTCTGTGAAGTAAATGTGTGATGTGCTCACAATCCCATCCTGGCGTTTGCGGGCGTTTTCTGTGAAGATTTGAAAAAAAGGGGGGGGGGAGAAAGGTCATTTGGAGTAATCCTCTTCAATCTCCTTCTCAAAGTTTACCTCACAAAATATGTTGCCATGTAGGTGTTGATAATGAAGTCTGAAAAGGCAGTGCAATGGGGCCTCAGCATACTCTACATTGCCAACATTGAACTACTTTCATAATTTACACCCTCCCATGCCAAAGCATCATGGTTCAGTCAAAATAATACCTTCTCATTTGCTAGCAATGTGTGGTTGGCATAAGAAACAAGAGACAGACTTAAAACTCTTTGTTCAGAACAATCACCAGATTTCAATCCTAACCAGTAAAATATACTGTTCAATCCCACAATCACCCTCATCACAACTTAACTGAAAGCAATCCCCTTGGCTGGGAATGAACATAGAATATTTCAGAACCTTATAGGTCGCAGGCCATGTCCCACTGAAAAAGCCCAATGTTATTGTTCCACAAGATGGAGCATTTATTTACTTTTTATTGCTTTTATTGCTGTAGGAGACTTTCTCTGAAGTCAAAGGCAGCTTATGGCTTTTCATAAAATCAGCAGCCACTTCCTTGTGTATTTAAATACAGTAGCTGTAGCAAGTATGTTAACTTTCTTAATAAAAAAGCAGTGGATAGAAACTCCTCCATCACAGGATGAAGACATTAACACTTCAGTGGACAATCAGGTAATTTTCAAGTATGTAACCTGGGAAGGCCCTACCTATTGAGATGACAAGGTCTCGTCTCAGGACGAAGCCCACCAGCCTCTGGGACTCATGGGAAACCACCACGGGGAACCCGCTGTAGGTGGTCTCGCTGATTAGTGTCTCCACGTCCTCCACTGTCATGTGGTCTTGGGTGAGCACCGTCAAGGGTGGGTCACTCCTCCGCGGACGCATCACATCCATGGCCAAGGTCTTGTGGCCAAACTCCTCTTTGGCCTCCAGGAAGGGATAGCCGTTGAGGCGTATATGGGCTTCATAGATTCCTTCTCGCCCAATGGCGTCAGCCACCCACTTGCTGGTCATTGCAGCAGCCATCAAGGGAACAATGTACTCCAGCCCACCAGTCAGCTCAAACATGATGACCACCAGCGATACGGTCATCCTGGTCACTCCACCTGGGGAAACAAGGAAAAGAGTATAACTGGATAACAGGCTTTCTTGATACCAGAATAGATTTAGTTCAAGACCTAAGCAGTTCTACAGCGTATGTGTGTGTAGTGTATGTATGGTTAGAGACACTATGGGACACTAGGGCTATGGGTAAAGGGAGATGATCTGTAGAATCTCTCACATTGGTAGAAACTTTGTGTTGCAAAAATCCTCAAGGGTAAAGAGGGGCTTCATACCCCTCCACAACAAGTCAGAAGATATCAACCAGATGCCTCTAACCTTTTCTTGTGTTTTTCTTCATACTGCATCAGGTGCAGTTCCTATCGATAAACAGAAGATTCATAATTGATTTGAAGAATTTTGTCTCTTTATTCCATAGTTTTCCCTAAAAGTGGGACATTAATACTTTCTTCAGAAATCGAACCCTCCCCTACTATAAATGGCCTAGTGTTAGTTTGGGGAAATAAGTGGCAGACTCAGCCAGGCTAAAGCTCCTTGTTTGTGGATTCTCTCTCTAATACTGTTATACCTCCCACCCTGTGTAAAGCCTCAGTATCATGGATTCTGCAAAAAAAGTAAAGATCCCCGTGACTGTAGATCCTATTTGCCTTAATCAGTTCTCTCAGTCATAATCTCTACAGAATAAATAGCAGTTAGACAAAAACTAAAAAAAGATGCAAGAATTTTGAGAGTACATCAAAGTGTGCTCTTCACGTTTTTGTTTGCTACATAAGTAGTTCTGATCCTGTAGTACCCCTGTGTCTGCTGGCTCTATCCAACTGGACCCTTAATCACCAGTACTGACAGCTGCCAATAAGAGAACTATTTGCTTCTTTAGACTTTTCTCCACTCAGGCCTAATACCCTTGTACAGTGGTTTTCAGTCTTGGTCCTGGATAATCCCTGTGTCTCCTGGTTTTGCGGCAGTTCGAAATCTCAATCACAGGCTCATTTATTTCTGCTTTCTGAAGTTATTAAATTTTATTGAAATTTACTTTCAGCTCTTAAACTAGAGAAGATCGGTAATTGGTATGAACCCTGTGCTTATTAGAGAGTATCAGGACTGCTCTCATTCAGGTGAATTATAACCAATTAGACTAAGCAGAAAGAAAAACACTGACTCACTCTGGGAATGTCTTATCGTGTCATTCCCACCTGTTGTTTTTTATCGTCAACTGATCACCTATTAAGACCTGCTTAGTCAGAAATAAGGGGGAACATTCTTATTTAGCTATCTGAGAAGAGACTGTATGGAAGACGTTGCTGAAGTAGTTGGAAAACACACTTTAACTTGTGAACCTTTGAAAGCAAGAAAAAATTCTAAACCAGCAAGGAGATCAGTTATAGGCAACAATTAACACAGGATTAAGAGTCACTTCTCAGTGTACTGAGAACCAGTGCCCTACATGATGGACAAAAGTGTTGACCTACAACACTGCCTCCTGACACACTGCAACAGAATGTCTGGCCCAATTAATCCAATTAACTGTTGCACTGAAAAGTCTGCTACCCTCCTTAAGCCAAATCTTAAGCCAAAGGTAAAACATAAATCCGCCAGAAAGACAAAATCCTGATTGTATTTTTCAACTAGTAGGTCAGTTTTGATCTTCTTTGGGCCTAGTAAAAGTGCTTGGTACAGTCATGTTTTCATTGTACACAGCTTTGCATTGAAGAAACAGAGTGACTTGGTATGGTTTTTGCTGAGCCCTGTAAAGTTTCAACCTGGCCACTCACCCAGACAGGCTGCTGCCCCCACCATGGCATACAGCCCTGGGGTGATGCAGTCTGCCCCAGGGGTGCACCAGCCCTTGAAGATCACCCAGTCATGGTGGTAGTAGGCCAGTTGCTCCATTCCCACTCCCAGTAGTCTCCCAGTGATGGCTCCCACTGCCATGCTGGGGATGAAGAGACCAGAGGGGACCTGCGAGACACCAGAATTAGCAAGGAAAATCTTACAGAAGCTGAATAACCTAAAACTGCTCTTCTCTAAAAAAGTAAGTCAGTTTTTATTGTCATCTGTCTAAACCTCTCATGCATACAAAATCAATCATTTGCCTTGCTTCCTCTGAAATGCACTGTAAAACTTTATAGCCAGCCAAATTAAACACCTCTTTAGGTGCTGATGCTTTGAAGAGGACTAGAAAACCTGCCTTTGCGTGTCACTTTGTGTGATAAAAACTACTATTCCTAATACCTCACAGTACTGTGATCAGTGGACTGGATTTGAAATACATCACTTGGGCTTTATAACCTGGGCCAAAGGAAACCAAAGGACTGTGTGACTCAAGGAAAACTCTATGAATAGAGTTCTCCTTTTCTTTTCTTTTTTACAGGGAAAAAAGCTATATTTCCTCCTGTAGGCAACCAAGCATAAAACATTATATATCCTTAGTAATATTATATTTAGTAGTATAGTAGTAGTATAGGAACAAGTTAAAACTTTATTCCATGCTAAAAAGAGCCTTCATCGGGTGTGAGCACACCCCTCACACCCAAAGAAGGCTCCACAGCTGAAACATTGTGTTTCCTTTCTTCTCTTTTCAGTGTAGAATAAACTTTTAATTTGTTTCTTTGCAGCCTACGCATGCTGACGCAGCTACCTACTTGAACTAGTCGTAGTATAGTCTGGTTTCCTGTAATCGCTTATGAAAATTTGTATTAATTCTAACTTGGCCATTTTTTAAAACTACATGAGAGACACTGATATCATAAAGTATCAGAAATTGTGAAATGGTGATTTTTACCTGTACGTTTCTCCAATAATTGGGCTGACTTACCTTCATGCCGAAGGTGACAATGGTGATGAGGACCTTGAAGATTAGGGCCAGAGCAAGCTGCCACATGGCTGTATAGACATTGCTATTGGCGGGGCGGTCGGGCAGCTCATTGCTGCTTTTGGAGCTGTTGAGGTTGATGTAGTCACAGAGCTTGGAGGAGTCCAGCAGGCCACAGTCGTTGAAGAGCTCGGAGATGAGCTCGCTGGTGCTGATGCGGGTGTAGTCGTTGGGGAACGCCAAGATGGCCGTCACTGCTGTCACCACCAGCACCTCCAGCACTGGGTAATGTCCCAGTTTGGTGGTCTTACGCCTGCGGCACCAGGCGATGTTAGTCCGAATGAAGAAGGCACCCCACAGACCCCCGAAGATTCCCAGCAGAATGAAGGGAATCAACTCCAACAGGTGCCAAGGACTGTGGAATTCCACATAGAAGAGCACCAGCTTGCTGTTTCCAAAAGGATTGATGGAGCGCAGGGTGAAGGCAGCCACCAAGGCTGCAAAGAAGGACCGCCACAGTGTCTTCAGGGGGAAATAGTAGCTGACCTGAAGACAGAGATGACAAGGCGGGTCAAAGTGTTAATTTCAACTCCGACCTTTTTAGAGAACCACTCCGGGAATGGCTCTTTTTAATCTCTGCGTCTGAAAGCTCAGAGTCAGGACTTTGCAGACAAGAGGAGCTGTACTGATGTAGACTGACCTCCTCCAAGCTGAACAGGACTCCTCCTATAGGAGCTCCAAACGCCACTGACACTCCGACTGCGGCTGCCGCTGACAGCACCTGGAAGACAAGACAGGACAGGAGCGCAGACTGAGGGAGTGCAGCCACAGAGCCTTCCGGCAGAGAACAGCAAATGGAAGACGTCAACAATTTCCGAAAGTACCAAACCTAAGTTTCCTAAGGAACAACTAATAGGTTTATTCCATGCTGAAAAGAACCTCACACCTGAAGAAGGCTCCACAGGAAAAACATTGTGTTTTCTCTCTTCTCTTTTCAGCATGGAATAAACCTATTACTTGTTCCTTTGCAGCCTACGCATGCTGACGCAGCTACCAACCTGAACTAAGTTTCCTAATGTTTTCTTTCCACTTTGCTGAATCTTGTTTGCTTGATGCTTTCAAGTCTGTACTATCAGAAACATAGATCCATCCCATCCAAGATCATTACGTATATTAGGAACAAAGATGGCCAATGCTGAATGGGATGTATGATCATACACCAGAAACCAATCCTCATGAATTAATTTATTCATTTTGCTTTCAACAAGGTTCATATTAATGAAGAATGGTCTTCTGGTGGACTTCCCTACCTCTACACTACTACTTTACCAAAATCTGTCTGCATGCTGTGATGCTTCTACTGGCCCTTTGACCCCCAAGCCCCGTACCTCTCTGCGCTTCGCCTCATTCTTCCGGTATTTGGTAAAGAGATGACAGAGGATGTTGCCACAGCAGCATGCCACATGCACCAGTGGGCCCTCCTTGCCCAGGCTCAGCCCTGAGGACACCGCCAGAACCAGTGTGATGGTCTTAATTATCAGGGTCCACTTGCCCAGGTAGCCACGGATGATGAAGCCACTCAGGATTGTCTTGATCTGAAATGACAGGGAGTTACTTCTCTCCTAGATCACGCTCCCTCTTGTCTTCAAAGAAGAACATCAAAAACTTTCGTGAAGGGCAGAATGAAAGAAGCATCTTCAAATCTGGTATTTTCTTTCTGTGGCTGTAAAGGCGCTCATCTCAACAGCACACCTTATGATGTTTTCATGTAGCATCTTTTTACACGGTCTTTGTTTTGCCTCTGTTTAGAGCTAAACAAATACCGTGCTAAACTAAATGAGACAGCCAACATAGCCAACCAACAAGCACAGACTGGCACATGACGATATTCAATTAATCATACAGCAGAAATAACAATCCCATAATATTAAGATTGGCTAAAAGAATATGACACCATCACAAAATGGGGCTACATCTCACAGGTTCTGACACAGAGGCTCTTGCTGCACATAAACGTGATATATGTGCTCAGTTTAACAGTGCAGCTCTGAGTAGTACACAGTGCAGGAGGAAGAGCAAAAATGTTAGTCTTACCTCTGAGATACCAGAGCCACAGGCATAAGGTGCAAAAGCCCTGACCAGAGACACAGCCAGGAAGGCGAAGAGCAGGGCCCAGCTGACATACATCAAGTAGTTTGTTATGTACGCAAACGCCCCCTACAGGACGGGAAAAGAGATTATTCAACTTGTGTGGCTCACAATTAAGACTGAACAAAAACCTGCCAGTATGTCACTAGTTTGCTTTATATTACTCTTCCCAAAGTGTTTTAAGATAGAACTCAAAATAGTGTAAATAAAATTAATGCTACTTCATCAACACAAGCTATACAGAAATTATAAAAATATACAGAAAGAGGAACATTTTGTAGGAGGTGACACTAAAAAACTCTGTTAACTATGAGTCAGTTTCACAGTATCAACTACAGTAAAGACTGTACAAAACAAAAAACTGATTGTAACAGAAACCAAAAGTCATGCCATCTCATGTCTGTTTGTTGTCCTGCTTTTCTGTTAGCTACAGTATGCTATGCTGTTACAATGATCTTTCACATTTACAAGTGCACTGTTATACAGCGGTGGCTCTGTGGCTAAGGATCTGCGCTTGTGGCTGGAAGGTTGCTGGTTCGTATCCCGTGGCTGGCAGAGGAATCCTACTCCGTTGGGCCCCCGAGCAAGGCCCTTAACCCCAACTGCTCCAGGGGCATAAATGGCTGACCCTGCGCTCTGACCCCAAGCTTCTCTCTCCTTGTCCGTGTATCTGTGTGTCTCACGAAGAGCAAGCTGTTGTATGCGAAAAGATAAATTCCTAATGCAAGAAATTGTATATGGCTAATAAAGTGATCTGATCTAATACTCTATGTGTAACCAAGCTAATATTGCCTAAAAACACACATTAACATTTCAAGCATTCTGACATTCATTACATTTTATGGTCTATTCCAGCTGTTTTTCCCCGCTGTTTCCAACTCCATTTTTGAGAGATCTAACAGAAAAGCCCCATGGACATAAACATGTAAAAGAGCATTTTCCATTCCCACTAACAGACTGGGTACTCTAGCTGAAATGGATTCACTAAGTAAAACGACAATTACCGAGAGAGTATAAAAAGAGTAAACAAACTAAATCATGTTGCAACTAAAGAAAGGCCACAGTACTTTAGCTTTGTAAGAAATTGCTGATTATACAAAAAAAGATCTGCAGTTAAGTTGTCTGGTAGGGGTATTTTAAGATAACCACACGAGAATAACTACTTATCGAATCCCACTTGACAAGAAAGCTATTGAAAACATCTGCCCAAGGCAAATCCATCTGCAAAGTCTTTCTTTGAAACTACATTTGCTGCACACATGGTAAAATCCTAAAAATGATAATGGCTATAATTTCAACTTCACATTTACTTTTGCAAATAGATTTTAAACTCTGGAACAAAAGAGAATTGCATTCACCTACTAATTCATTTCGATGAGGAGCAATTTATAAGAAAAAGGCTCAGAAGTGTAACACGGCACAAACAATTGCAGCAAACTTCTTAACGAAACTAAATGTTTCTTCTACAGCTGTTTTACTTTTCTCCAGCAGAGGGTGGTGTCTGTGCATGGATTAGTTAAAACACACAGATATGTGAATAATCCAATAATGAGCTGCTGTTCACATAACTCTGTAGAAAGACCCACAGTCAACAAGGAGGTAAGCAGCTTTCTGCCACAGTTTTAAGTAATACAACTTCAGAGCATCGACGGAACTGTGAAAATGCTGTTTGCACTTAACTTTTGTGAACCACTACCTGACTTTTAAATGTGGAATATTACTAATCAGAACAAAATACTGACAAAACCAGAGGGAACACAACTGTTTTCCCCAAAAGTATCACTTCTTGGACACCAACACTAGCCAGGCACGTCACTAAGGAACTGAATATGCGGGGCCCAGAGTAAGACCTCCTGCTTCGACTCCTATTGCACAACACACAATGTCAATAAGACGCTACAATCTTGGCCTGTGTAGGGCCTGACAATTTTGCAATGATAGGTGCAGGCTGACAGAAACAATACATAATACTACTTAAAATCGATGTAATGAGCCAAAATCAGCTTTTAGAACAGACAGTATCCCTAGACTCCTAAACAGCTTATTTATTCTGTCTGCTAGTGATCCACAGCATCACCAATATCAAAGGAACAAGTGAAGGTTTATTCCATGCTGAAAAGAGAAGAAAAGAAACACGTTTGGGACACCCGAAGAAGGCTCCACAGTCGAAACGTTGTGTTACCTTTTCTTCTCAGCATGGAATAAAGGAACTTTACTTGTTCCATTGCAGCCTAGGCATGCAGACACAGCCACCTACGTGAACGACATCACCAATATCGTACAACCTGTTTAAAAAGAATTATCTTGTGATGGCTAATCTGTATTGCCGAAGCAGACTGACTTCAGAGTGGCCGATGATGAGCTCAGCCCAGCTCTTCCACTGGGGGCACTTGTCCCTCTCCATGAAAGTGGTCTCGTTGGAAGTCCAGCAGCAGTGCTCGTGATTGAACCAGAACCCATTGAGACACACCCCGTCCTTCAGGTCCGTCATCCAGTGAGCAGAAATGTCGATCCCCCCAGCCAGGGCCCCTGAAACAGCACCAGACATAAAAAGCCACCTTTACTCCCCCAAGGCAAAGGTTAGTAAGCAGATTTCTTATATTTAGCACTCGTGAGCAGGAGAGTGCATTACAGAAAGAGCAGGTGATTAGTAGGTTTGTGTCTAGAATAAAGGTTGATACTTATAATATCGATTCTTGACAGGTTTTAGTAATTAAAGCCCTCCAAAATGGGATCCATTGAGGTAAAACCTGTTTTTAATATAATACAGTTGAAATGGGCATTTCATACACAGGGTATTGTCAGAGGTCATGCCGGGTGGCCAAATGCTGGACAGTGCTTTTGACCAGAGTTCTAAGATGACGAAATCCTCAGAAGGAACTTGGCACCAACACCCCCCTTCTTACCTGCCATCAGCCCAATGAGCAGCATGAGCAGCCAGCCCGAGAAGGCATCGCTCACACTCTGGATCAGAGCCCACGTCGACTCCTTGCTTTTACTGGCAATCTGAAGCAAAATAAGACGGTAATCAAACACAAATGTTGCTCAGACTAGGAAACAAAATAAGTCAATTAACTTGTATAAGAATCTTGACTTGCAGTGCATTTGCTGCAAATGTAGGATTGCTATTTTTTTCGTTTCTGCTGAATCTACATCAGGTAACCTATGGACTATTTAATTCAACACGAAACTGAAGAGAAACGTACTATTCTGTAATAAAGTGCAATTGATTTTGTTTGCTTCAAAGGTAGAATGACCATCAGACATCAAACTCGTTATAATCAATGTCACACACAGAATTAATCAATTTCACCAGTTTTTTTTATTCTATCACTTTTTCCTTAAGTGACACAGTGCATCTTTAAAAGAGAAAAAAAGCAAAGTAACAGTCAACAAAAAGCAAGGACTTTCTGCAGTAACACCACACCTGACTATTTACAGGATGTTTACAATGGCCAATTTCTACTTTAAAAGCAGGTAGAATGATCAAAAAGAAAATAAAAATAGTATTTTTTCTGCCACCTTCTCTATCAAACCTTCTTTGTCCATTATAATTCACTCACATTTTACAACAGATGCTTTTTTAAAAAAAGCATTAGTGTTAAGAACATTTGCTATAATTGAACAATTGCATGGACTTTCTGTCAGACTATAAACTAAAGATCTGGAGATCTGAGCAAGTCTTTTATCCTGCTCTTTTGTCATACGTCTCTCAGTTAAACGTCCTGTTAATCACTGCAGAGCTTTATAAAACTTTTTAATTAACATGGAAATACATGCACATGACGAAGGAGTCAGTTCATGCAAATTGACTGAGAGGGATACCTTTTCCCTGCGGGCAGACTCGATAAGCTGTCTTGTTGACAAACAAATGAGAAAGGTCTTTTGCCCCTGATGAAAAATCAGGCCTTGTGTTTAATTTGTTTGAGGAGAGACATCTACACCAGTGCTATAGCTCTCGCAAGGAGAAACATCTGGACAAACCTGTGAGCCAAATCTCAAAATTCCAATTACTGGATTCTATGAAACTTGAGAAAAGCTCACCTCTCTGTGTCTGTCCCGGTCCTTGGACTTCTCCCTGACCCAGTCAATGGTGTTGAAATCCTCATATGTTCCCACTCCTGGAACAGGCTCATCAAGGAAATCCATCAGCTTGCTGGTGCCATTCATCCCTTCGCCAGTATAAGTGTTGTAGCCTGAAAGAAAGATTGAGATTACATCATTAGGTGCTGAAATCTCAAACTTTTCAATGCTGATGATTTGGGCTGTGTCCCAATATGCACACTTGCGGTCTTGCGCCCATCATATAAGCGCTCTCTCTCAAGTCTGCATCTTAGGATGTCCCACTTCTAAATTTGTGGTTCACAAGGGTGCTCACAAGCCCTTAATAAACCCTTCTCTGAAGTCCACATCAAGTGCGGACTCCGCTGAAGGGAACTACCCCCAATTCCTTCTGGAATGGTGACATTTCATGTTCCAGCCTCTCAAAGCGGAGAGAAGTTACCATGGAGAACAAAATATTCTTGTGTTAGTAAAATTTAAGTTCTGTAAATGTTTAAAATTCATAATATTTTATGTAAAAACAAAATTTAATAAGGCTACTTAAGATTCATACTGTATGTATTCTAGGTTTTGGCATAAAGCTTTTACTTCGTCATCCCATTTAGACTGAATGATGAATATTCATATACCTGGGGTGTATTTTGTACACAGAATATTTAATATTACAAGTATTCAATAGTACAAAGCTTTGAGGTGCTGTCTAGTTTATCTTGTTTAGTTTATTTTGAATGAACGTGAAAGAATACGTTATATTCCGCATACTGTCATTTTTGTCTTGGGACAGACAATATGAAATACATGTAGTAATAAAAAGCTTTGAATAAACAGAGACTGGTATTGCCAAGTTTTCCTTAGTTAACCTGTCGAGTCTGCTTAACATGAATGAACACGATGCGTCACTACTTTTATGCAGGGACAGATGAGTTTATATTCAATTTCATCAAGCTGCGAGCGAGAATGATAAAATCTTTTAAAAAAATGTATCTGCCGACATGATAAAATATAAAAATATAAAATATCTGCTGAGAAAGCAGGATCAACAACAAAACGTATTTTGACCCTGAGTCATGTAACCAGCAAGTCACCTCAGATGGGGTGTCCCATTACCCTTTTTATAACGATGCACCCTCCAATACCCAGGCACTTGAAGTCTACACTTGCTCTACATCACAGAAGTGAGGACTTGGAGGAAGGGCTAAGGGCGTAGTGTGACAACTGGGAGAAGGCCATAGCGTCATATGTAGACAATGAAGAAGACCACACCTGAAGAAGGCTTCACAGCTGAAACGTTGTGTTTGCTCTCTTCTCTTTTCAGCATGGAATAAACCTACTACTTGTTCCTTTGCAGACTAGGCATGCTGACGCAGCTACCCACCTGAACATATGTAGACAATGTCTACCCTAGACTGTACAACTGGTCTAACACTACAGATACCCTGGTGTTGAGAAGTTTTCTTCAAGTGTAATTGCAGTAAATGACTCTAAACCTTATGCAAAAATGTCACATTCTTATGGAAAGAGAAACAACTATGTGTCAAAATTCTCCACTCAACGGCATGAAAGTTATATGGGCAGTCTGACTTTTCCAAACTTTCAGTTGTATTTCTGCTCCTGTGTTTTGCTTGTTCTGATCTGATCGATTGGGAGATACCTCTCAGACGTTGTAGACTGCACTCTGTGCCACAGTTGCACAGTTAACAACTGGCATTTAGTAGGAGATATGGTATCCATGAAAACAACCATGTCCATTCTCCGAAGTTTCATAATCATAAACTGTTAAGCTCAATCGTAATCATACACTTATCAGCAACACTACTCTTTTTCACCTTAGAGAAACAATTTTAACAAATATAGTTACTTAGGATGAGTCTTCTCTCGTTTCTACAAATGCAGTACCAGCTTCCAGGCTCGTCTTACCTTATTTATGTTGCCATTCTGCAATACTTTGTCTCCTGAGGACCCACTAGCTCAGGCTGGTTGTCATTCTATTACTCTTAACCTTGTTGTTGTTAAAAATAGTCACCATTCATGTGCTACACTAGGGTAACTCTAGTTTCTATGTATTATTACATTTCTTCCTTGCATATATAGGATAGTATGTTGGATCTTTATAACTATAACCCTTTTAAATCACCATGGATAAAGCTTTTATCTAAATAAAATGCGAACATGTGATCCATAGGACAGGGCACGTGTTTTAGAGCAAAGCAAGAGATGGTTTTGTTCAGTTTTGTGTACTCCAGGAAGTGTTCCACATCAAAGACCCTGCATGAAGGGCGAATGGCATGTCAGAGTTTGTCATTTCAGGTGGGAAAGGTCTAGATGGTGCATCAGATTACCATACCTGATATCTCAAAGCACTGCTTCATTAGCACACAAATCACAATATAAGCAAAATGAAAAAACATTTATTTTAAGAATAAGAAAAGAGATTGTTTTCAGCTATGAAGCTAAATACTAAAATAAGATTCTGTTTCTGGATACATTAAAGGAGAACTGCATTCCCAATTTCTCAGACCAGTTAAATTCATATTCACATTTCAAATTAAGACCACTTTGTGAAAGTACTGTAAGCTACCAAATTGTTGCAAACCCCTGGTCTCTCCACGTGCGAGAGTATCAGTTTTGCAACGAGAAGTGGCCCTGTAATGACTTAGGCAACGCGATGTACGAGCAAATTAAGTACAGGTTGTGCAGCAGATATTTCACTGCAGAAATGTTCCAATGTGGTCTGCATGCAGAGTTAACAAGTAAGTTCTATGTATCGGCAAAAGCATCTAAAAAATCGAAAGCAATATTTGTACTGGATTAAAAGAGATGTTTTCACAAGCCTGCTTCTTTACAATGTAACAGGGCTGATTCACGGCGCCAGAAGTTTTGTTGCCTCGTTCTGAATCGCAGAGTGTGGAGCTGCGCATACCTGGAAATTTCATTTATTTTGTAATGTTAATTGAAGGTTTTATAAGTTACTGTGTACATTTGACTTTTATTGTGGTTTGAAATGTACTCACCAATGCTTATTCTTTCAAACACTGAAATATAAAAATAACTTTGCAGCTCCCCTTTAACGTATTGAGAGCTAAGATCTTTTAGTTCATATTTAAACTAAAAACTATAAGCGTCTTTACACAAGACCTACCAAATGTACAATTCCTTGCCTGACCTGAATGACTGCTACTGTATAATGAAGAACTGAGTGCATGTGACTTTAAACCTGGAGAAGGCAAATAACTAAATTAGTATTTCCATCCATCTGTTTTCTAACTGCTTCTTTCAGTTCAGGGTCACAGGGGTGCTAGTACCTAAACTGGTAAGGAATAGTCACAAGACAGGGTATATTAGTATTTATTTTATTTTAAGCATCTTTTTAAAGCACTGAGTATTTTCTTTAACAAAAAATAAGAAAATTACAATTTTGTATAATAGTTTAATGCTTGGGTAGTGTACCCAAGGCAAATACAGTACTGATCTCATCTATCCCACATAGCTGCAACAAGCCTTAGGTATCAAACTGATACTTTTACATGCTGGGGTGGCCTAAGGAGGCATGAGATCAGAAAACATATTTACTCTGTGAACTAGGCAAGCAGACTGGAATCCTTCCTGACTGTACTGAAAGAACAATGGCTAAGGAGGCCCACTTGGTTCCTTTGGCAAACTGAGCAGATGACCGCAAGAGTGCCAGTCTCATGTAATTTAAGCTTTTGACTGATTTCACTTCATACGAGTAAGATTATGAGAGCTAGATCCTTATTACATTCACTTATCGGATCTCAGGATAATGAAATAATTAAGAACCAGGCTTTCTCAGCATCCTGCAATGTGGTGGACACTAACAACATTTAGTATATGCTGTTATACATGTATATGCAAAACATGCTGGCCTATTAGAGGTGCTACACATCCGATATATTCACTCTCCATTAACCCCTGGACTATTTGCTCCTGCTGAGCTATGAGACTATTAAAAAAACAGTAAACGTTAACTTGTTTTAAATTGCTCAATGTATCAAAGGTGAACCAAAGCACCATAGCATGATCTGAGAACATTCTTCTGTGAAATGTGCTTCTTCTTTTGCTAGACAAAACCACTCCCTGATACTAGAGCTAACAGACAATGAAAAAACAATTTTGAGTTACAGCAGTGTCTCATTAATTATTCAATATCACATTATATGTGCAGGCATTCCCCTGCTGTGCAACACTGGGCTCTCACTAAAAGCTACTGTAAATAAGGAATTAAATAATTAAATCTGTACAGTTTATTAGTCCCAGAAAACCCCAAACCTGGAGTTGTGTAGAGCTTGATCCAGTTTCGATGTTTACCCAACAATCATTTGTGCATTGATATACAGGGCCAGTGTCAGGGAGTTGTACAATCAATACAGCTGCACCATGGCTCAGCTGAGATGTCTTTACACAAATAAGAAAAGCACGTCTCCTCCCTGTCGAAAAAACCAAGAGCTGCTCAATGGATCAGATATTCGCAGCAGCTCCTAGTCAACTGTTTGTTTTCGCTGATGTTCAGGCCCAGGCTCAATGAGTCAGCCTGGTTTACAGGCAGGAATATGTCCGAGATAAAGTATTCCCCCATTGATCTCCCTCTGGCCCATGAGGCAGATGTGCTGGATCACCTTCCTGATTACTGGCCTAATGGGAGGAGCACATCTTGTGGATGGGAAGCCCGGGCAGTGTGGCGTTTGTCCTGCATGTCACGATAGCCACATTGCATTTAGTGGGCTGCTGTCCGCATCTGATGGGCCAGAGAATAAACTGTTATATTTAACATTTCCAGTTGCCTATGTAATACAAAGCAATTCATAAAGAATACCAAGAGGAACAACAATGACCTGCTGCAGAGTCTCTGAAAATAGACTCAACTGAAGTCTGAAGGATAAAGCATGAAGCAATTCAGAAACTCACTCATGGTGATACAGAATGTCAAAAAGCAACTATCCTGTAACCTCCACTGAACCACTGAAGGCTGGCCTGAGTTCTACTGACCAAAAATTCTTTACCAAGTAAAATAATACATAAGCCTGCATTGTCTTTCCTAAAATGTTCATTTCATTTGTTATTTATGCTTCTAATTTGTATGGGGTCCCAAAGACATTCAAGGTTATATTTTTATAAG